CCACGGCGGCGCGTACGGCGCGCCCGCGAAGAGCGCGAGCATGTCGCTGTAGACGTATACGGACAGGCAGCCGACGGTCAGGACGTAGGTGCGGATGTGGAACTTGCGGCTGTCCGTGTCGAGGAGCAGCGGCGGGTGGATGTACGGCTGGGCGACAAAGTGGCGCAGGTGCGATGTCGTGATGTAGTCGCCGCTGCCGTCGCGGTCGCCGCCGCCGCCGGCTGCTTCTTCGTCTTCGTCTTCGTCTTGGCCGGCATCGCTGTCGGGCCTGTCGGCCTCCCATCCGTCAAAGATGGCTTGCAGCTCGTCCTGCGTGCTGAAGAGCCGAATGCCCTGGCCGCGATCGCTCATGCCGGGCTTGAGGATCCACCAGTCCCGCTGCGCCGGGTCTTCCTTTTCTTCGTTCCGCTCGAGGCTCTCGCGCAGGTCAAAGGCCTCGACGAGGGCGTCGTCGAGAAACTCGGCGTAGTCGAGCTCAAAGTGCTCGCTGCGCTTGACGCCCGTGGCCAGCGACGAGGACGGGTGCTTGGCGGACCACGTCTCCACCGTCGCGGACAGGTAGTGCTTCCGGATGAGAGCCTTGCGGATCATGTAGCTGTTGATGAGCACGGTGGACGAGTGGTCGGCGGCGTACTCAAAGTCAAGCGTCTCGTAGGGTGCAATCTGCACGAGTTTGGCCGTCGGCGAGGGGACAATGTTCGCCAGCGACAGGACTTGATCAGCTGACGATGATGGCGTGTGGGGCAGCAACTCCCAGGATCCCTCGGGCAGGAGGGAGTTCATGGCGTCCAGGATCAGGGGCTGGACGTATTCGTCGCCGTAATCGACAACGGCGTAGCACTTGGCCGCCTCTGCCTGTTCCGGCTTCTGGGCCACGGCGGGCCGCAGGGGTAGTTGCTGGCTGCGCGTCTTAGCCTTCTCCTCCAGGGGCGGCGAACTAGTAAACACAAGCGTAAGACTTTGCTCTATTATATGGGTTCTGCCGGTTTCTGCGTAGGATACAGGCAAGCAAGCGTTGCTTGGTGGGGGAGGTTCTTGTCCTCGCTCGATCGCAGTCATGTCCGTCTGTTGCTCGTCGACCCCGAACCTGGCACCAGAGCTGACCCTCCGTATATCTCGCATCTCCAGGTGCCCGCTCCCTGCTCAAGAGAAAGAAAAAAGGGGGGGAGTGTCAAAAAGCAAGGCATATGTACTCACAGAACCAGCTCTTTCTCATGCAGATGCTCCGCGGCGTGCCAGAAGTTTGCCTTCAAGGCCGTGACGCTGTGCCTGTCAGTGGGGATCCTGAGAAAGAGGAAAAAGAGAAAAGAAAAAGAAGGAGAAAAAAACAAGGGGGAAATTGCAGAAGAGAGTGTTCTCACCTTGTGTATCCCTTCTCGACAGCCCAGCCATCGTTGCCGGGCGGCGCATCCTCGACGCTCTTGTAGACGCCGCCAAAAGACGGCGCCCACTTGAAGTGCCTCTGCCTCTGCCTGTGCTTGTGCAGCAGCTCGTCGGCCTTCCTCTCGCCGCCCTGGACCTCGCCGCCCTGGCCCTCGCGTATCCTCTCCTCCTCGACCACCTCGTCGGCGGCATCGCCGTCGAGCTCCTGGAAGCAGCCGGCGTCGTGCCAGTAGTTCTGCAGCACGGCGGTCCACAGCGTCTTGTGGGTCTCGACGCCCTCGACGAGCGGCACGTTGACGCTGTAGAGGTCGACGCTGGCGTCGGCGGGCCAGTCGGCGTACAGCCTCTCAATGACGCGGACGCCGTGGCGCGCGGCGCCGCCGATGATGACGGGGTCGTGGTTGCGCGAGAAGAAGGCGTAGCTCAGGGCGATGGCCTTCCTGCCGCAGATGGCGCCCTCCATGGCGCCGCCGAGGGTGCCGCTCGACAGGGCAAAGACGGCCGTCGTGTTGCGGCCGTAGTTGGGCCCGCTGACGACGAGGTCGACGGGGCCGCGCTCGGCGAAGAAGTGGTGCAGCCCGATCTGGACGCACGAGGCCGGCGTGCCGTCGACGAGCACCCATTCCTTGTCGGCGTCAAAGGTGCCGGGCGTCGCGGGGTCCGACGTCGTGGGCCGCGTGTGGATGGTGCCCTCGGCGTCATCGCCGTACAGGTTCGGCGACGGCGTGTAGTAGACGGGCTTGACGGACTGGCCGATGATGTGGGCCTTGCCGATCCAGGACCGCTGCGTGTGAGGGAGGCAGACCGAGACGGTGTGGCCCGCCTTCTTGAGCTCGGCGACGAGGGACGCGACGTAGGGGGACGAATGGGGCGAGGGGGGGCCGTCGTCGTTGGTCACGAGGATGTGCATCGTGTCTTGTCGTGTGTCTGCCGATGCAGAAACTCTACGTTGAAATGCCCGAGACTGCAAGCAAGAAGGAGATGAGAGGAGGAGAGATGGAGGTGAGGTGAGGTGAGGTGAGGGTAAGACCGAGAGGAGGGGTCGTGAAGAAGATGGTGGCGGTTGAGCGTTGTGGGTCGAGCGAAGTGGGATGCAATAGTGGGGTTCCTCGATGCTCATCGACGCCCAATCCACGCCATTGCGCTATTGCCTCGGAACGGGCCTCTACATGTACATTCTCTTGGTCTCTTCTCTTCCTTGGTCTCTTCTCTTCGTGGGGCTAACATGTGGTGGGTGTTTGCCGTTGGCCTGTTGTTGGTCATCAAATGCTCCGGTATTGTCACAGCTGTTTGTTCCATGACACAATGTTCCATGACACACCACGTAAAACACACGTCACGAATGGCCAAGCAATAGGTCCAAGCAAGTCGTATTGAGGGGGAATCATTCTGTCATGCCTTGCCCTGACCTGACACCGCGAGCCTGCTGCCAACCTACCTGAGGAAGAGAAAAAGAAAAGTTGCTACCTACGGAGTTATGTTCCCCTCCGCCGAAACCCATTCCCATATCTGACATGACTGGCAACAGGGCGTAATTACACTTCGCTCCCTTTTCTCCCTTGATGCTATGCCTCGAGCGGGCCACAGCGGATATCCGTTACCAGTCATCATGTAAAAACAGAAAAACGAAAAAAAAACCAAAGGCCGAAAGAGGGCCTCGCAAACCAAATGCGTCATGTAGAGAAAAGTGTACACAAAAACCTCGGACACCGGCGCTGTCTGCTCTTCCAGCCAACAGAAAGAAAGAGTAGGGATATAGAACAGCCAGTCATGCCCAGTCAGGTGAATCATCATCATGATTCGCCATGTGTCGAGGAAAGAGAAGATTACCGAAGTGAAGCAGAAAAAGGCCAAAGAACCACAGAGACCAAGTCAGAGAACGGGTCAGAGCCCCAGACACATCTAGGACCTGGTGCGTTTGGGTGTGGCTGCGCTGAGCTCATCGCCGGCAGGCCTCTTGGTCGTACGCTCTGTGCTGTCAGGTCGGCTCTTGACACGACGCCAATCTTCAAAGAGCGTGCGGCCCGTCTTGGCTCTGGAGGGTGTCGCATCCTCGCTCTTGGAGAGGAAGCGAGTGGTGCGGCGCGTGCCAGGAGGCGTGGCAGCGGGGCCGAATCGGGGTGCGGCAGGAGTGGCGGGGCAGGAATCCTCGGCAACTGGCGTCTCGGGCGTCTCCTCGACCTTGTCCTCCTCATCCATGTGATGATCCTCAATGTCAGTGAGCGCTTCCTCATCCTCGGGCGTAACGAGAATCTCGGGAGGCTCAGTGCGCTGGAACAGGCGGCGGGGCTTGATGGACGACCGAGTGAGGGGACGGCCGAGATGAGCCTCCAGTGCCGCCTCCTCGTCAAGGCCGTCGTCGTTATCGGCGAACTTGCGGAACACCTTCTTGCCACGGCTAAATCGCACAGTCAGCTACCAGGCTCACAGGGAGGGAAGGAACGGAGGATTACTCACAAGACATAGACCATTCCGTCCTCACGCTGAAGAGCTTCATCCACGTGCTGAGCGCCTTCTCCGGGTACGGTCACCTTGCGCTTGCTTCGGCGAAGGCGCGGCTCGGGCTGTGCCTCCGTGTTGGAGCCGTAGAAGGGGTTCTCGACGCTGTTGTCGACCTCGGGCACGCGGTCGTGCGAGTCGGTGAAGATCTGGATATCGTCTTGGACAGCCTCGGCGGTGAAGCTCTCCAGAGACATGCCCGTGTACTTCTTAGGTGTACGCTTCTTCAGGGGTGTCGTCAGAGCGTCGTCGTCAACAAACAGGTTGCGGGCAACAGCCTCGATACTCGCGGCCTGCGTCTCGGTCGGTGCCTTCCTAGGGGTCTTCACAGGCGTGGGCAGCATGCCGGAGCGACGGTGAAAGGCTGCCGCTCGCGATTCGTCCTGCTCCTCCTTGTCGTGGCCGTGGGTGTGAGCAACGCTCCTTGACGATGACGCACGGTGCACGGCATCGAGAGCAGGAAGGCGCCTCTTCTGAGGCGAAAAGGCGGGCGACATGATGGCTGTCGCGGCGACGGTGGATTTCCTGGTCGTGCGAGGTGTGCGGTGAGATGAAGAGGGAGAGGGCGTTCGGTGGGTTGCGCGCTGCGAAGAGATGCGGGCTGACTTGCGCGGCGAGTAGGGCTCCCAGTGGTCGCTGTAGCCGTGCTTGGGTGTGGGAGGAGTGCGGATGCCTGATGGCTGGGGTGAAGGTGTCGAGGTTGCAAAGGTCGCCATGGTTGCGGGTGTTGACTAGCCTTGGGAGGCAGTCGCGGATGAATGGGCTATTGTTGTTCCTTTGTGGGCGCCGATGTTGGGCCTTCCTTCCTCGTCAAGTGCACTGTGTGTGCAATGTCCAAGTGGGAGTGCGTTCGATGTCGATTTTGGTCTCCCGTCACAGTTGTGGATGGCCTCCGAGTTTTCCAAGGGATGGCGTCGGCGGGGATCCACGAGCCGCTTCGAGTGGAATCGGTGAGCGCGTATGGGGCGTTGAAGGATGCGAAAGGCACACCAGATTATGAATATCGATATTGAAAATCCGAGGTGTCGAGCACGATGAGCACAAAGCGGTGGAAATTGAAACTTGTCGGTGTTGTCGAGCGATGTTGAGGTGACAATGATGTTGGTCTGGGTTGTTGCTGGGTGGTTACGAGGTGGGTTGTGGGAATGGAATGGAATGCAGGATTGGACGAGCGGAACAACATGGCGCCAGGGGACTTTGACATTGATGGGTGCAGACAGACACACAGAACGTAGACAGGTGGCTGGTGGATCCCCCCAGCCTCCCTCATTAACTCATTAACCAGCCCCATTTCTCATTAAAACCGAAGCGGGTCCACCCTGCCACCGCGTCGACGCGTGTCATTTTCGCGTTTGTACTGCAATGCCCCGTGCGCACACTTCTACCTGTGCGACCCCTCACTAGCCATCCCACCTTCAAACCCCTGACAGTCAGTAAAGCGAGGTAAGGTTAGTCAATCGGTACCTGTCGCAACAAAACAAACAGAACGTCACTGCCATCCCTGTGACAAGCTATCTCGACATTCTGGTCATCGGCTTCGAACCCTACCATTTCCCGGCTGGCCGTTGACACCTGAGCGAAACTACCCTGAGTCCGAGCACACCATGTCAGACCCCCTTGACGATTCGACAACCGACATCTGGGCGTCTCCAGACCAGAACGAGCCCGCCGAGCGACCCAAGACCCCCAGGACGCCCAAGACACCCAAAACGCCAGTGCCCCGGACACCTGCCAACCAGGACACCGACGAATACGACCGAGACGCCGTTTTGCGCAAAGAGTTGGAGGGCGTGCGCAACATCAACGCCTCGATCGAAGGCATCATAAGCACGCTCGAGAAGGCCAAGAGCAACATGGGCGTATGTGGCGCCGACCGTCGAGTCAGAAAGACCCTTGAGCTGACCTTCTTCTCTTCTTCCCTCTCCAGACCGTCTCCCATACCGTCGGCAATGCTTCAACCCTCCTCAACACCTGGACTCGTATCCTGTCACAGACCGAGCACAACCAGCGCCTCATCCTCAACCCCGAGTGGCGCGGCGCCACACAGGACATGCAGGAGATGGAGGCCGAGGCGCTCCAGAAGCAGCAGGCGGCCGAGCGCAAGGCGGCCGAAGACGAGCGCAGGCGAGAAGCCGCCCGTCGCAAGCGCGAGGAGGAAGAGGCCGAACGCACGAGGCCGACGATCGGCCGGACGCCCAGCGTGCGAGGTCGCGCTACAGCACGGGTCAGGTCTCGCGGCACGCGTGGCACCTTGCACACCCGCGGCTCCAGCATCTCAGGAACCACAGGGAGCAGGATCGGCAGGGGCGCCTCGAGCACAAGTACGCGGGCCGGATCCCGCGGACGGGGCACGACGTAGCGTTGTGACAGGAGAGGAAGGCAGTGGGAGGGGAGCTGCTGGGCTTTGCGCATTTTTGTGTGATTTTGTACGGGATACCCCAAAAGAATCTGTTTCTTCCTGCAGTTCTACTTCTTCTTGAAGAAGTCGCTCATCTTCTTCATGCCCGTTGTGTTGACTTTTTGGAGGTTTTTGACCCCCCGGCTCTGGTTGGCCTTCCTCTTCTTCTCGTCTTCCAGCTTCCGCCTCTTCTCAGCACGCACTTCTTCCTCCTCCTCATCCAGGTGTCGCTTGCGGGAGTAGTTTGACGTCGACATGGATGAAGCGGCCTCGATGCGTAGTTGTGTGAGCTCTTCGAGGTAGGCATTCAGGGGCGCAAAATTCACCCCGGAGACCGCGGGGTCCAGCAGATACGTCTGCAGACGACTTGTGATGGCCGGCGTGGCGTAGCTGGCGCAGATGAAATCCAGTGCAACCCTGAGCTTCTGCAACGCGACCACATCCTCGGGGGCTTTCGCCGTGCTCAACACAGCGTCCTCCGTCGCTTCTTCGTTGACCGAAGTGGCCGCAGTGGAGGCCTCTGACGCGAAGGATGCCGACGTCTCGAGAGTCGTCGCAGAGGCTTGAGACTCTGCAGACTCGGTGCGCGGTGTAGAATCGCCCGGCGTCGAGACGTCATCGGCTGCTGGCTTCGTCTCGACCTTGGCGGCATTGCTCTTTTGCAGTGAGAGAGGGGCCTCGAGCGGCTTCTTGACAAACCTCTCCTCCATGCTGGGAGGAAGCGCTGCGCCCATGGCCTTTGCCTTGCCGATCATGACATCCACAAACTTCTTGTCGCTCACGCGGAACATCTTCTCGTCTCCGGCATCTACCGAGTCGCAAATAACGGCCATCCTGGCCTCAAAGTGTGATCTTGTCTTGGGACACCTGAGAACTTCACACAGGTGCGAGGATGAATCGGAGATGGCGTCGAAATGGTCATCGCTGGTCAGAAACAAGCGCTTCGCATCATCCTTGGTTGTCGCAGGGCCGAAAAGAGCTGGGAGCATGAGAAACAAGGGATCAAAAGCTGT